TTTGTATTATTCATGCATGGCAACCAATCACGATGTGTACTCTCACCCAGGATTTGATGGCGAACATAAGAAGAAGAAAAACAGTAAAGTGCAAAGAGATGTATAAACCAGCAGAAACACAAACTGCATACATGGGATATGCTGAGACCTTGGAGAATTAAAATGTCTTTAGAATATTTATCATTTTATTTTGTATGCCCAAAATACATTTATGATCTCCTGCTAAATTATGAACCATCCAGATCTATCAGGTCTTCAGGGACTGGTCAGCTTTCTGTCCCCAGAGTCAGAACTAAACATGGTAAAGCAGCGTTCAGTTATTATGCTCCAAATATCTGGAACAAACTCCCAGAAACCTGCAGGTCCGCTACAACTCTGACTACTTTTAAATCCAGGCTGAAGACTTTTCTTTTTGTCGCTGCTTTTAATTGAACTATTCACATCTTAAACTGCACTGTAACTTTTATCCATATATTTTTTCTTTTAATGTTTATTTTATTATCTTTGCTTTTTAATGACTGATTTTAAATGCCATTTTCTTAATGTCTTTCATTTTTTGTAAAGCACTTTGAATTGCCTTGTGTTGAAAGGTGCTATATAAATATACTTGCCTTGCCTTGCCTTACTGCTAAATTATGAACCATCCAGATCTCTCAGGTCTTCAGGGACTGGTCAGCTTTCTGTTGTATTATGCTCCAAATATCTGGAACAAACTCCCAGAAACCTGCAGGTCCGCTGCAACTCTTACTACTTTTAAATCCAGGCTGAAGACTTATCTTTTTGTCGCTGCTTTTAATTGAAACTGAGCCGTTGTGTTCATCATTAAAGTGGAACTTGTGTGAACTATTCATATCTTAAACTGCACTGTAACTTTTTATTCATGTACTTTTTCTTTTAATGTTTCTTTTATTATCTTTTCTTTTCAATGACTATTTTTAAATGCCTTTGTCTGAATGTCTTTCATTTTTGTAAAGCACCTTGAATTGCCTTGTGTTGAAAGGTGCTATATAAACTTGCCTTGCCTTGCCTTACAGTGCGGAGCTCGCTTTAAGCGTTTTTGGTTGCGTTTCCACTTGGCGTAGTTCCGGCTAGTGGGTACTATTTCACAGTTTTTCTGGCCCCATAAAATCGAGGTTCTTTCCGGGCCAACAACCAGGCTGAGTCGGGCTGAGTATGCTAAACTAGAGAGAGAATCGCTGGCAAGGGGGCTACAACTACAACAAAATGAACATATTTGACCGTGATTTAATTGTAATACACGTTTCAAAATGATGCAGAAGTAACAACATACTGATACCAGTTAGTAAAAACCATGAATTAATGCTTTGACAAGTCTGCAGGCAGGCAAAAAACCTTTTAAAATGCGTGTTTTCTAAATGAAGATCAGCTAAGCTAACGCAGTATATGCTCCGACCGGCCACACTCACAACAACGGCCTATACAGACATAAATAAACCAGCGACTGTATTCGCCATGACACAGACAGTCTGTGGTTTGTACTTGTGTAACTTTTGTCTAGTTTCTGAACAGATACGAGGAGTTGTGAGCTTGAGTGCTAACAGCTAACGGCTGATGTTGTTTTTCTGTGGTTCTCATTGAAGGTGACATAATGGCTCCGCCTACACTGCGTTACTATAGTTACTGCCCCAGCTACTAAACTGTAATGGAAACGCAGCATAAAGTGAGCCAGTCCTAACAAGGCCTAGCCATACCGAGCGAGGCCCTGTAGTGGAAATGCGCCTTGATGTCTATTGGCTCATTTCCACCATGGCGCGGTTTAAGCGTGCTGTGTTGTGCCGGTCCCGTTTTTGGTTGCGTTTCCACTAGGCCTTATTCCGGCCCGGGGCTACTTTTTCACCTTTTTCTGGCCCGACAAAATCGTGGTTCTATCGGGGCCAACAACCAGGCTGAATATGCTAAACTAGTGACGACTGTTGATTGGTCAGAGAGAATCGTCACAATTCTCGCGCGAGTTAATCCCTAGCATCGCATATATTAAGGGACGCTTGCAGCATTTTTGAAAACAGAGAAGCTAAAAGAAGAAGTGGCAAAGAAAAGCACACAGTGGTCGATTGACGAAGTTACGACGTTCCTCCATCTGATTGCAGATGATAAAATCCAGCGGGAGCTCGACGCCGCAACTCGCAACCTAAACGTTTTTCAGGAGGTCTCTGCACTGTTGTCCGAATGTGGATTCTCAAGGACTTTCCAGCAGTGTAGGGAAAAACTGAAAAAGCTTAAGAGTGAGTATAAAGCCGTCAAGGACCACAACGGCCGGAGTGGTTCAGATAGGAAAAGCTGGAAGTGGTTTGATCTGTTGGACGCCATTTACGGCCATAGACCGGCCAACGTTGGGAGGGAGGGAGACCTGGACTCTGCGACCGCGTTACTGGAGTCCCTGCATGGTAAGTCTTTGCTAACGCTCTGTTATTTGCTTGAAAGCGTTGTGTCCCTATCTATTCTAAAGCTCACTTCTAACAAACAAGTCTATTTTATCCTTACATTTATGTTTGGCAACCCATGCTTTTATGGAGCCCCGAAGAGCTACATAGCTAGCAAAGGCAGATAGCATTAGCTAGAGCTATTGTTTGCTAACACCACATGTGCCATTGTTTACGTTCAGTTTTAATTTTCTAGAGTTGTTGTTGCTATTTAGTATTGTGCTGCAGTAGTTTGTGGAATTAACAAGTCATGTTGCTGTTCTAGATGATGCCATTGGGACTAGTGAGGAGGAACAGTCCCGAACAACGGGTGATGGCAGTGTTCCGTCCACAACATCGTCATCAAATCCAGAACGGACCCCAACTCGACCAGACACCAGCCGAAGAACTGACACCAACTCAACCACCAATGCCAAGTGCCATCACGACACCGCAGCGTGTGGTTCTAGGTAAGAAATAGGCATGGCAAAACGACTGGAATTGTGACTTTTTTAAAACTTTATATCATCCATCGTCAGTAAGTAAAATAAGCTATACCACTGTGTGGAAATGCTCTGTTACAAGTAAGTAACTAGCTAGTAAGCAGCTAGTACAATTGTGTGTGAAATCTTATTATATACATATATGTATATTCATTATCAACAGGCTGGACATAATGTAATTCACTTTCACAATCATTGTAAACATCTAGGGCAGAACTGTCTTTAGTTCATCCTACTGTTGTTCTGCTTATACATTTGTATTCTTATATCCTTGTGTGACCTGTACCTGTCCTGTGTTTTTCATTCTTATTGCTAATTCTTATAGCTATAATTATCTTATCGTCATACAGGCAAGAGGAAACGAGGAGGAGACGAGCACCTAGCACAGCAAGAATGGCACCTGGAACGGAACCTGGCCCAGGTGGATCGGCATTGGCAGCTGACCATGGAGGCTGCTGCCCGGGCGAGGGAGGAGGAAATGGCCTTGAGAAGGGAGGACAACGCTCAAACTCAGGCATTTAACCTAGCCTTCCTGCGCACTCTTGGCCAGGTTCTAGGGGGCAGCCGACGTGGCCCTTCTCCTCAGGAAGACGAACCACCTCTGTAATTTAATATGATTCAGTTTCATCTCTCTTGTTTTTGTTAATTTGTAAATGCAACATTTGTACTTTCTTGTTTATTTCTTATCTTTCCTTTTTTAATTTTTTATAATGCCATGTTTTTTTATGCTGCTGCAATACAAACATTTTTTTATTTGTATTGTACAATGCCATGCCTTTTTATGCTGCAACAAAAACACTTCCCAAATTGGGATTCAATAAAGTACTCATCTTATCTCTTGTTGACAAATGCATCATCTGATTTCCTGCCATAATCTGATTAACAAACTGATTTTCGTGAGCATTTTAACAAAGTCACTGGTTTGCCACTCACACACAAACACACCGTTTTGGAATCCAATCATAAACTGAAATTAAATGTACACGTTTAATTAAAGGGCTTTAAATCAGCAGAACAAAAACACTGAGAATTGTGTCGTAGTCCAACGTTTAAAAAAAATTCAGATTCACATAATTTTGAGGCAGAAGTTATAGGCCTATATTTTTTCTAAATAATAATAAAAATAGGCTACTACAACTAATACCATTACTACTACTAATAACATTTGTGGATCTTTAAAAAACAAAGGAAGCCTACAATATAATTCTCAAAAACAATTGTAAAAATAGACCAATTAAGATCTAGAACTGAAGATATAAACATTATACATGAATTTATAAAGCAATAAGAAACACCATCAGTTAGGAAAAAGCCCATAAGATAAAAGTTAATTTTAAGAAGAGATTTAAAGCAAGAAATTGAGTTTGCTAGCTTGAGGTCCTCCTCTAAAACATTATTTGGTAACTGACACAAATCATTACTTAAAGTCAAAGATTTCCTTTTATAAATAAACTGGAAGGGGGTATTTAGAAAAAAAACAGAAAGAGAAGGAGGACAAGAGATCATTTGTATTTATGTTTATAGTTTACTTTTGATATTAGAGAGATTTTCTAGATAGGATATTTTCTCAAATGTTCTTATTATGGGGCAGTACTTACTAGTGTTTGAAATTCAAATATTTACTAAATAGTCAATTCTGATAACATTTTTTTATTTAAATCATTTGACAAACACATGTATGTGAAAGAGAAAAAAAAGATTTATTTATGTTCAATACAATGTAGTAATAATAAAAACAATAAAAACAAAACAAAATGTCACTAGCCTTAATGGCCCACAATCTTTCAATTTCGTGTTTATAATTACAAACACAAGAAATGTATATCAACTTACTGAACCATGATGTTATGAACCAAAACATTCAAGTTTCCTGTATACAATGAATATTTAGCTATTCAGGTAGCGCATCAAACCCTCTCGTATTTCAGTGGCCTCCTCCTCTGCACCTTGTGCCACTGCTACCCCAGGCTCTGCTACTGCTGGTGCATCCCATTCATCATCATAGGCCTCTCCATGACTCTCGCAGAGGTTATGCAGAGCACAGCATGTCACCGCCATAGATTTGACAAGTTTCACATCAGTCATTTCTTTTCATGAGGCAACGCCACCTTCCCTTCAGTCTACCAAAAGCGTTTTCGACCACTACCCGTGCTCTGCAAATTTTCTTGTTGTAGATCACATGTTCTGCGGTCAGCCATCCATTGTCAGGGAATGTTTTTATGAGCCAGTCTTGCAAGGAATAGGCATTGTCTCCCAGGATGTAATGGCCAGCATTCACCCCACCAATGTTCCTGGTGCAAGGTGGAAAGTAGTTGCCACGACTGGCCAACTCCCACAATGAGGACAGCCTCAAAACCCGAGCGTCATGCAAGCTCCCAGGCATTCCTGCAAACACATTCCAGAAATGTCCCTTTCCATCTACAACTTCTTGAAGGATGATGGAGTGCCAGCCTTTACGGTTGAAATAGTCGCAGTGGTATTCCTGTGGTGCCAAGATGGGTATGTGTGATCCATCAATAGCACCTACACACTGTGGGAGCCCCCACCTGTTCTCAGTGTAGTCGGCCATTTCTGCAAACTTCTCCTGGTCTGGTGAACAAATTAGTTCCGGTACTAACAACGTCTCTGCAGCAGCACAGAAGTCTTGCACACACCGGCACACAGTTGTGTTGCTCACTCCGAAAAGATGTCCAATGCTTCTGTACTCTGAGCCGGTCCCAAGCTTCCACAGTGCGATGGCCACCCTCTTCTTTAGAGGTATACACTCGCGGAATGCTGTGTCCTGTCTCTCCATCGCTGGCCGCAGATTGTTGCACAGGTAGAGGTAGGTTTCCTCAGACATCCTGAAGTTCTCCACCCACTGAGTGTGCGTGAAAGATGGAACAATCACACCCCACCACTCGGTAGCTCGGTCGAGCATCCAAACACATGGTCTGCGGCGGCGACCTAACTTCTGAAATACACAAACAAAAGCATACACATTTTAATACCTAAAAGTGGTAGCTACTATCTTGACGGCAAGAGGAAAAGAGACCGGACAAAGCACACAACAGGATACATGTAAGAACAACGGGGAGGAGTTGTGTCGGATGCTCCTCCCATAGGGCCCATCTATTGGGAGATATAAAAACGATAGCCTGTCGTAGCGAATCGGCGCAAGCCAGCCGAGATGACCCGGAAACAAGAGTCTCTTACGTTTGTGGCAAAACAAACACATCTGGTGTTCGTTGTCACACATTCTTGCAGTTTGGACACACACACACATTTTCTGCATAGATTTCCCTCTCTCCGGCCCCCTCCCCATCAGTTCAATACACACAGCTCCACACACCCGTGGCATTTTAAAGATATGTCTAAGATATAGTTGTTTATAGTTGACTAATACAAGTAATACATGTAAGTTACTTTAATATCAATAATAACGAGGAAAACATTACCTCTGCTCTTAAGCAGTCCTACAGCCATGCTTCTGAAATAGTAACGCACACCCATTCTACCATGCAGCATTCCAGAGGTTTGAGCTGTTGTCCAAATAAGGATATCTCATCTCCACTACTCCAAATACAAAGGTTTCACTTCTCATATTTCCAGCTTCATGTTATACAGACTGCTACTATTTAATACAAAGTAATTCAGTATACACATGAATATATAAAAACACACTTCTTATATATCAGGTGACATAATAAAATGAATATACCAGAAATACGCTGTATTAAACTTTCTGCTATAACACGTTACTTCAAAGCGCAGCATTAAAGTGAGCCGGACCTAACAAGGCCTAACAAAACCGTACTAAGTCGAGCGTGGCCTGCGGTGGAATTGCGCCATACTGTATGTGTGCACATGCTGGCCCCTGCCCCTGTTTCTTCTATTTCAATATTTTTAGCAGATTTAGCGTTTTTAGTGAGAAAGAATTCCGAGATACGTTTTTGCGCCATGCCAGTTACTTGTCTCTTGTGTTGTGCGTCACGTTTAAAGGAGCCGACTAAAAACTAACAAAATACTTTTTTCCCACATCTTTTTTGTTTTTCTTCCCTGAAGCTAAATAATTTATTATATAGTTTAAAATGATCATTTGAATAATAATATATAATATAAAATATATCTCAGGCACAATGTAATAATAAAAGATATATTTAAAAAAAAAAAAGTGAAGGCAGAGGAGCTCCGCCTGCCTGCCGCTAGGGGCTGCTGCAGCGCCCTCAGCACCCCCCTTCCCGCGCTCCTGAGTATGTGGTTTTATTCTCCACGAGGCATTCTTCTATTCAGTTTTGATTGTTTTAACTCAGTACTTTTTTGCAATACAGAAATAGGCTGTTAGCAGACACATGATCTGTGTATAGTAGCTTGTGTAAGACCCCTACTGTTCCCTTTTCGTGTTTATATCTTAAATAATAATCCAAACTTAAAAAACGTTTGTATTTAGCTTTCTTGAGAGAAACTCTTAAATGCTGAGATTATGATATGGACAAACTGTATATATTTTCCAAAGGTTGCCTTACACTAATATTACCCAGAAGACTAACCTGTGTAAAGCTTTGCTGACTTCTGCTGGGGATCAGTTTGGGAACAAGTGGTCTTGACTATTCATTTATAAAAGCATGCATATCTCAATAGAGTGCAAATATGCAGACTGCCAACAGCGCATTGATCAAAGTGTAGATTAAAGCAGCATTTGAGAGGGACTGTAAGGAAAAGAAGACAAAAACATCAAAGGGAACTGCTTACAATCATACAAATATATGTTATTTTATTGAATAATATTCCATGGTAAGACATCTCCTTTCAATTCATGTAGGAGTTATTGTAGAAATGTACACAGGTCTGATGGCAAACATGAAGAGAGGGTGAATGGGCTTGTGTCTGTAGATACTGAGAGGGAGTCATCCCTAAGGAGCAGAAGAACAGTGAAGAATGCATGCTTTGCAAAAAACGATTCCCATGTCAGTCTAGACAATTAGCAGTTATTATTGCAGACCACTGAACACCTTTGGAGCTCGCAAATCCTGATTGTAGTTTGTTGTAGCCTGTGGACATTGTTTCCCTTCCTTGAGTGCAGGCTGGTAGTTCTCATTGCATATTGCTGGTCTTCATTCCTGTTGTCTGCGTCTTGAAATGGTAAAAAAAAAGCCAGTATATTCCTGCTGCTCGCTTTGGCTCTTACTGTAAGGAGTCCAACGTGTGTCTTTATCCCTGGTGACACTCGGGAGCTGCCTGAGGATTCAGACCTTCTCTCTGTGGCCCATTTTTTATTTATGGCTTTTTTTTGTTGTTCTTTTTATATAGATATTTTTATTCATTGTCATTTTTTTTTCTCCGGAAGACAAGAAGATTGGAGTTAAACCAAGAGTCCTTAACAGTAGAGAGAGGGAGGTTGTGGGAACTTCCTGGAAGACTTGCGTGACCGTTACTCCGAGCCCACCAAGGTCATTGCGGCTGTGTGTGACAGGACACGTGTTGGCTTAACCTTCTGTGTACACATTGCATTTTTAACGTAAAGCCCACAGTCGCACAGTTGGGATTCAGTTTGGGTTAAGTCCACTCGGGGGTCACAGCAGTGTGGATACAACAATGCCGACCAAACACAAAAACACACCAAATAGAGGAGGAACATTTGGACAGCAACAACAATCCCTCCTTTTTTTGAGGAGTTAAAAACATGACAAGGTAAAACTGAAAGACAATAAAACAAATCATTAACATTGATTATTTTTTTGTGAAAATAAAATACTTGACATATCAGATATACACTATTTGTATTATTGAAATAAGATACATGTAAACTGGCAGCAACCATACATTTAGGTCTCCCCGACATGTTTCGTTGTCTGGATGCCTGCTTCAAATTGTATAGAGATCAATGGGAATATTTGACATCCTTCACATTTTTAGCATTCCTTAAAAAAGATTAATATTATGCTGCAGCAGGATCAATACTCTATCATTTCAATTTTTTTTAATTACTTTTAATATTTATTTAATAACAATTTTCAAATCCAAGCATCAACTTGGTCCATTTTTCATTCTTTCAATATTTAACTTGAACGGTTAGCAATATGACATACTTCTATTTTGTACTTTAATTTAACAACCGATTTATCTTTATTTTTGATGGGAACTCAGTCGCTACAAATGATGTCCAAATGACATCCATGGTTACTTGGGGTTTTCTTTTTAAACAAATGTATTGTTACTTATTTACTGTATTAAATTCATTAGTATCAAATACTTTTGGTGCCATCAATATCCTCGATACCTTTGACATTTTGATATAAAATAAAAGATTCAATAGAAGAGTCTATAAAGTGTAAGGAGCTGTATTTGGAAGTTTGCACATAAGCCTAACAAGGCATCATAACCACATTAGGAATCCATTATGCGTGTGTTTACACATTAAAGCATGATATTAAAAACGGAGCCTCTTCATAAATTGTAATTGCTTTGATGTTTTGAAATTTGGCCTACAAACCAGCAGTGTTTCTTTGTGCCCCTCAATACCAGTGTTATCTTTACATCCAACTGCCTCCATTAGAGGGAGCCATTTGTACACAGATTTCCCCTAAAGATTGACAAACTGCATCGGACACACTTCAGTCTGCATATTGGATAGAACAGATGTACCAACTGCAAATAACTGTAATCATACCATATGCAAATATAACATTGGAGTGAACTTGGACAGTGATGAGCTTCAGTTAATTGCACTGCCTGTTTTATAAATTCGATTTTTCTGAGGATTGTTTGGGTAATTACCGAAGGACCATATCAATTTAATTTAACATTTCTTTTTTCCCCTCTTTTGTTAAAGAGAACATTTAAAAATCCTGAATGTTGTACACATGATTTTATGCTCCCGTAAAACGTTATTATACTGCATTTAATGTGATTTCAAATCCCTTGTTTGGGGTTTATAATACTGTTCAAATCAAATGTCACCTAGGATTATGGACGGAATGTTTTCCTGGATGTTGGTAGTTGTTGTACGGTATAATACAAATATTTAATCTCTACTGCATTGCTAAAGATTGGCTGCAGTTTAATATCAATTATTGCCTTTATTCCAACTACATGTTATAAATAAGTGGGGCTCCTTGTTTGTTGTATTCTATTCAGAACATCCAAAGACAGTGTGTCAACATTTAAATGCTTCAATGTTCCTCCAGTTCTCCATTGCCTTTTGGAAGTTTAGGGACATCATTTTTGTATTTATGTCAATATATACCGGTACTGCCTTTAGCAGATGTGTGTCTCAAAGGATAGTGAGTGTCTGCTGATGCTCAGGAAACAGTTTGTCAGGCCTAGTGTAAAAAACATTTCTGTTGTCGTCCAACGGGCTTCTTTGTCGAGTTTACAGGCAGTAATCAAACAGCCCTCTGAGTTCATTATGAACTAATGGATTTAGCTGTATCTGGAAGACCTTGGGGACATTTTTTCAAACCCATCGCAGGGTGGCTGTGGTTTATTGAGTCTATCGATCATTGTTTGAATCTCATGCCCTTTCTTTTTCTCCTTGCCTCTCCGTCTTGTCTCATTTGACACTTATTCCCAGATGCACACACACACATAGACACACAGACTTTATAAACACACTGTAAGTATACACCTACACAGGCAACACAGTGTTGAAAAGAAAGTTAATGGGCCGCAGATACTGTAGGCTGTGGTTAAAAAGAGGTGTGTAGGAAAGGGATTAGGACTTTAAATCTCTCATGCGTGGGCACACAAACTAGGCTATATCTGTATTTTTATTTTTCTGTTTTACCACCTCTGTTGGATTTTGAAGATAAATATATTCACATAACACATTCCGACTTTCATCAACATACAGTACAATAACTCATATCACTTTGCTTCTCTATTGCTAGCTTTCCATCAACATGACCATTTTCTACCATGACTTTAACGTTCAAGAGCAGATCTTGCAGAACTAGTGTTGCTCCCAAAATCCTACTTTCTACATTGCACTTACTTGTCTCTGAACTTTGCGACATCCTTAACTTCACATTCATTGTAAAAACCTACTGGTCTCTCTTTAGTCCTTCCTGTCTTACATTCTTCTTCGTTCTTCACTTAACATTCAACATCGGACTTGTTAACATTCTGTTCCTGTCTGTCTACCTGCAGTATCACCGTCGGACAACTTACTCTGGCATCCTTTGCTATTACGATTGTAAGGACTGGTTGCATTTGGTAAGAAAGGAAATCTATGGAGGATTAAGAGAGTCTCTAATGTTTTACACAATATAAAGTGACATTTAAATCATGTTAAGCCTGTACGTTAACTTACTTTCTTTCTGCTTAACTGTGAAGTAGAGACTTAGGAATGTCATTATTTTCTACTTTTTCTTTAAAACTGTATATTCATGTGCTTTGTACTCTTAGTTGGACAACTTTAATTTGGTGCATTTCATAGACAAAACAATTAATCAAGAACATTTCCAGTGGATGAATTGATAATAAGAGTGATTTGCAGGCATTTTGTATAGGCTAAGAGAAAAATAATGGCCAATATGTCTCATTTTGCCATGCCAAATTCCCTTGCTGTCACTGCTAATACTTTCCTTTTATAGAACCAACTTATCCCCAACTTGTAAATGTAAACTGGCATGAAGAAGCTCCCAGATGAAAAATGGAAAACTATAAGCCTATATAGCATAGTATGCTACCTGCTGTGCACACACTTTGATATCAAACAGTTAGTTAGTAATGCACAGTTGGAAGCCATTCTATGCTGGACCAAATTCACCGGAGATGCTGTCAACAATACAGATGTGTAGGTCTATAATACAACATCTGCTACAAGGACAAAATATCCAAACTTGTACTAAACCATATTCCCCCTTGAAAAGCCTAGAAAATGACAAACTGACTGAAAAAAATGCAAAGCTCTCCAACTAATTTCCTCCATAGACCCCCTCTCATAAATAGCGCACAGTGCCTTACGTGCCTCTTTGTTTTACATTCATTATCATATCCACATGCCGCACCAAACCCTGCCAAGAACCTTGCTCACTTTACTGCAGAAATTCCTTATCAACATTCCTCAAGAATACACCTGCTAATCTTTCTAAATAACTGCCTCCGTGCATTGACCTCTTTACAATTCAACACACTATTTCAGACTTGCTGTAGCCCTCAATGCAGCACATTCGGAAAGCTTCCGTTTCACATTCTGTACCCGCTCTTCTCATTTCGTTACCATTCAAATTAGAACCCATCCCGATGCTTTGAACCTCCTAGAGATTATCTGTGATTGTTAGCGACCATATAATGAGCTTTTTTTCTTTTCTTGCCTTCCACATCTCCCAGCGTTTCTCTTGCAACGTATTCTTGTCTATGTTTGTTGGTAGTATCCAGGATGATTGACTTTGACTAATCATTGTGATGTCAGTTACCAGAGCCATCCTATCCTCATACACTGGTTCATATGTTATTTTACGAAAGGTTATTTCTGATTACATGTGTATTCTTCAAAGAATCTCCCACGACATATGTCCAAATTTGCTCATCACATGCATACAGTCTTCAAAATAAACATTGGTCTTCACAGAAAACACTCCGGTTATGTTTGGGCAACAAAGGTATTGGTTAGGTTGGGGAAAAGATTGGGAATTAGGTCACAATAACCATAGACTTGGCGTTACGTTAGTATGGAAGTAACGTGACAAATAGGTAACAGCACTTGCGCAGTTTTTTGAAAACCAAACATTGGCTTATTTGTCACAACTTCTGACTTAAGTAACGTTACTTCCGTAGGTATAGCTAGAAACTGTATATGAGAACTGCATGCCAGAGCAGGCAACAATTCCAACTACAACCAACACCCTGACTGATCGAATCAGCTCATCGTATATTTTAAAATATTCTATATAAATGAAAGAGAAAAACAAAACACTAGTTGATTGCACCTTGTTGAAATCTTAAATGAATGAGGTGCCTTTTGTGGGTTCGCTATTGGGGTGACCAAAGATCCCACTTTCCTGCTATTTTTATTCTTTTTTATTTAACTCTCAAATGTAAGTGATAATGGCAGGCAAGCTGGATATTACCGTAAGTGTCACCTATTCAAAGACCAGACAAATCAAAGACACAATGCTGTGCCACGTCTGAAGGACATGGTTAAGGTTACCCACAGTATCTCTAACTACATCCTCTGTACTGGCGCTCATTTACACACAGTGCATCCATGGTGTAGAAGACGTCCACACACGGGGGGTTAAAACACAATCACACCAAGACATTCACTACATTTTCGAGGGCGATTCTTCCAAGGTGATTTGATAAAGCTAGTGAGTGGATAAGTTGCCAGACGTCCTCAGAATAACAAGTGCTCCAGCTCTGAGGCTCCTCTGGCTTTGATGTTCGGCTTCAAACCTGGCTTTATGCTGACAGCAGATGCCGAGTGAAGTACACACTACGGCTGCTTTTTTCCAGGTGACTGAGTTCAGGTCTTCCATGGATTTAAAACATGACCCAGTTGTTACATTTTAGCCTCAAACAAGCTAGTGCAATAATAAGTGTTCACATCTCACTCATTCACACACTCGCTCTTTTTTCATCACTGAGATGTATCTTCTGGATTGTTGGTACAAATATTGCTCATTTGTTTAAGAGTCTGGAAAACTCTAGTTATGTATGCTCTATTATATGGCTCATCTTCCCAGGAAGAACTGTGACTGTTATTATTTTTATTTTTAATATGACCCTGATGCAAGCAGTGTCTTTTTTGTTGGCATTGCTTTTATATATATATATATATATATATTTATATATATATTATCTTACATTTAATTGCTATCGTCTTTCAGCTCCTATCCAAGTCATTATTTGTGTTTGGGCTGTCATTCATTCATTTTTTTTAATCACAGGATTGCTTTAAGTTTTCAAAAACAAGAAAAATGTTATCAGTTTTAATGTCATAAACTCTTATTTAAATGTAGCTGTTTTTTTCTCTGTACTTTCTCACACCCTCATGTTGCTCGGTCGACCTGACCCGACCTAGGATCCCTGCAGATATATCTCCTCTGTGAGCTGTTTCATCTCACTTTGAGCTTTAGTTGACCTTGGTGATTAGCTTAGCTGGTAGGCAGCTGGTGGGTGGAAAGCCAGGCTGAACCGCACTGTCACCAACTTTAGGGCTCAAGAGGGGGCCCATGGGTGAGGATTATGGTGCCAAGTCAGCGCTGGGAATGCATGAGTGGTGAATATACTACAATAGACCGAACAGTAGGGTTGGCATGTGAGAAAAGATGGAATTGTCAGTGGGACAAAGAAGCCCGAGCATGACAGAGAAATGAAGGAGACTGTGCATTAGGAAGTCACTGGGGTGGAGAAAGAGACAAACAGTGGGAGGGGGAGGTGGTAGTAGTTCTGGCTCAGGCCCTTGGCTTCCTTTCTGCGGTGACAGGTGAGGGGGGGACTCCTCTCTCAGGTGTTCTCGGCTGCTGATGGACCGCTGACCTGTTATCTTTCTGAATCTCGTAGCTCACTTCTGGAATAAGGTGGCCCTTGGGGGCCATTACCCCAGCCACCCTCAGTGCATAATGGGCGGCTGTATTCCCAGTGTCACTGCTGCCCTTTGTCCCACCCTCAGTCTCCTGTGCTATGAAGCATCAGCCTTGGGAGCTTCTTTCCGTCCATTCTTCAGGGACGGCAAATCTGACGTCTTCACTGTCTTCCGCGGAGGACTCACCGGTTCAGGGGCAAGCTGGTGTAGCGATGGCTCCTTATACATCGCAACTGTGAGACAAAGATAGAATCTGTCGGTTAATAATAAAGGAGGTGATTAATAAGTGAGGAACTGGTTTGAATTGTGCTGAAGTGACACAAAGGACACAAACCCTCTATAACTTTTGGCAGGAAGTGTGCAGCTCCTTTGTTCTTCTTCACCCGGTTGCCCTTCATGACCTGTCCGTCGCGGTTGATACCGATATACCAGGAGCGGCCAGACTGGGTTTGGCGATAGAGCATGGAGGAGTATGTGACGTAGTAGTTCTCGAACACACTCTCCTTGAACTTGCACTCAGGAGTGAAGTGCTCCTGAAAAGATACATGGAAAAGGGAGAGAGGTGGATTTATATTAGCAAATAAAGAAAGGGAAGAAAAATAAAGGGCAAACGCCATAAGAACAACATTGGTGCAATCTTTGAAATAAGCCACACAATACGATATTTTACGATAGAATACGATGCAATACTTCTCTAATAACAATATTATTGGCATATTAAACATTTCATCATATTTTGCAATATATTATGTATTATTTGTCAGGATTAGGCCCATTTCTTATTAATTTTTGCAATGTCTATCTTTGTTTTGACCAACCTCCTGCCAATACCGATGACATCATTACAATTAGATTTGATATATTAATTATCTATACAACTCTCCCCAACCCTATCTTTGAACATAACCTTTAGTTCACGTAAGAACACACTTGAAAGAACAACGACCGTGGATATAAGTAGAAAAAAGCACTAATTGGTGACTGTTTCCTGAGGGAAAGGATGAGTAGAATTCAATCTGGACTTGTGTTTCTTTGAACATCCTTGTCCTTTGGGAAGAAAAGGATGCCATTGGTAGGAATACTAACATCTCATGTAAACAAAACACATTCCCAAAAGGGAAGAGCAAAGATGAAAAGGAATAAAACACTGACACCGACACAAATCAAATACAGATTTTCTGTCTATACACATACATTACATTGTGTACAAATAAATGAATTATTCTGACATCTAACTGCATCAGAGGCATCCTTAGTTCAGAAAATAAACTCCACACGCCTACAGTATAATATAATAAACAAGTTTCTAGGTAATGGGATCAGTCTTTAGAATATTTGTAGGATGGTGTTTATGAACACAATCCTCCACAAGGATTTATATTTGGATCCGTGTTTCTGCACTATACATTATATCCACATTTATGGGAACAATAGATACCACTTGTAATACAAATAGTAATGAAACGTATATAGTTCATTTAAACAGATACAATTACTGATATTACAAATCCGAGGACCCAAAACAATTATAATTAAATAAATACATATAAAAGCAAAAACAATTTACAGTAAAAGAGGGGATTTACAATAACATGATTTTCTAAAATTATAGACAGTTGTTAAATGATCTTTACATTTTCAAAGTTGTTGCCTATAATTCCATAAATGAATGGGTCATTCAACCAATTGTTAAGCAGGAAATTCATTATTTACAGTAGTTGCTATAGGGTTACAATGCGTGGTCTTCAGTTTGGTGGAACTGCTCCAACTCATAGAGGATTTGAGGTCATATCAACTAAGAAAACAGACTATTTTAATTGGTTACAAACCAAAAATATAAAAAAACCCACTTGAGCTGGTTTTTCAGAGTCTTGGTAATGAGTATGCAGAAACAGTTGAAAGACTAATCCGTTTTCATTCCGCCAAAAGAGAATTATCCCTCCAATATACTGTCAATTGTCCGAGACTGGCTAGATCTGAATAGACATTACACAATCAAATGAGCAGAAGTTGGATGAATTCCAGCAGTTAAGCCAGTAAATGATCATGTTCCAGCAGCACTTCCCCCTCCTTCTCTGTCTTCAACATAAGGACTACTGAACCCTGCATAATGTTGACTGGTGATATTAACCAATAGCGACAGATATACATCTCTCTTAGCCTCCGTCAGGGTCTCCCCTGTCAGAGAGCATAGCCAATCTGTGGGATTGATTTAGTGAGAGCAGCAGGGCAGAAATGGCTGAGTGGAGAATTTCTCAGAGACTCGGGAAGAGCCAAAGGTAGATTGGGAAGGTATAAGAGACCTTCAGTTTCACACTTATCACAGATCATCACCTTTCTCCTTCACAGGGAGGCGGAACTTTAGATGCAGAGAACTCAGGACTTTATGCCCTTTCTCAGTCCACTACTGTCCTGCTGCTCCAACACACTTTATACACTTTTAACTAGTGGTGAACAGTAACTAAGTCGTTAACTTAAGTACTGAAATACAATTTTCAGGTACTTTACTTGAGTTTTTCCATTTCCTGACACTTAATATTTCTATTTTGCCACAATTAAGACATTAATTGACATGTATATAGACTTTTTGCACTATTTTGTATTTTTGTACTTTATTATACATGTTGCATTGTTGGAGGAGCTCAGGTCAGAAGAATTTCATTGGCATTTCTACACTGTAGCTTTGTGCATATGACAATAACACCTTTGAATTTGAAGAGGGAAATATTGTATTTTTTGTGCACTACATTTATCTGACCACATTGGTTACTTTGCATTAATGATGAAACAATTAACACATACATAAGTATTTGGTTATACCTTGAGTAATAAGCCAAGTAGTCTATAAAGTAGGGATGCTCCGATCGCCAATTTTGGGGCCGATCGCCGGAATCAGTATCGGCCGATTCCGATCAAGTGGGCGGGGCCTAAATGGAAGATTTAAACATCACTTTAAATCTTCCATTTAAAGTGATGTTTAAAACTCAGTTAATGGGGCTCATTCACTGGAGCTTCCACAAACAACAATCAACTTAATTATTACATTCAAATGAAGTACATTATTCAAATTTACATTAACTTTGGATAATAACACGGGAGAAATGAGCAGAAGCGCTCTCTTTTCCTGTCTCCCTCTCTCTCTCTCACCCTCTCTCTCCCCTGACAGCCTGTCAGTATCTCATACAGCTCTCTGATCCAGTAATGACTGACCCGACAGTGAAGAATACATATATTAATAACTAGTTTAGCTTGTTCCAGAGGTAGATAAAATAGCTAAGTGTGTTAGGTCTAACTCTTGTGTGTTTCGCTCCGCTCACCGGTCCGTCACAGCGGGCGGAGCTACAAGATTTCTGCTTCACACACACGTTCATACGGCTATTTTATTGTCTTTTTCGGACACCTTAAAATACTGCCAGACCGGTGAAGCCATTTTGGCGAACTTGTTTTGCCGCGCACAGAGAAAAGTGTCATGTATTTTACGTCATGCGATCGGCTCTCGCGATCGGCCTTTATAGAGAGCACCGATCGATCGGTAGAGAGTGAGTATCGGCCGATCTTGATCGGTGACCGATCGATCGGAGCATCCCTACTATAAAGTAATTCAATTAGCTTTACATTTATCAGCTGCGACAAACAAATTGATGCATCAATTCAAATAAAAAATATATGATGCCTTTACTTCTGTACTTTTAGTTAAGATTCATTTTGAATACAGGACATATAGGCCTACTTGTAACCAGTGTTGGGACTAACGCGTTACAAGTAACGCGTTACTGTAACGCCATTATTTTTGGCAGTAACTAGTACTCTAACGCATTACTTTTTAAATTCAGTAACTCAGTTACCGTTACTACATGGTGCGTTACTCCGTTAGTTTTTTTTATATAGTCAACAGCCAGGCGAACAGAGATGAGAACTGTACTTAAGTACAGTACTTGAGTAAATGTACTTTGATACTTCCTGTGTCACATGCGGAGACGGGCTGTGGGCGTGTTTGTGTTGTTTACTAACAAGACTATCATGGCGGCGGCGGAGCTCAAGTCTAGTTTCTCCACCTGGAGATATTCTCACTATTTCACTTTTGTCGAGCACAAAGAAAAGAACGTTTCTGTTAAATGTAAGTTGTGTCCTGGCGGGTCAAAGATCCTATCTACTGCCCAAACCAGTAATTTAAATCTCTTAAAACATCTGCAAAAACAACATGCTGGGACGAAGCTAGTAGCAAAGACCACAGAGACTCAGCCGACGCCACTCCACCTCCACCTAAGCAACAGCGGCTGGATTTTAACCAAGGGACTGCTAGCCAGGGAAAAGTCGATAAAGCCATTGCACGGTATGTTGTAGAACACATGCAGGCTATTGCTACAGTGGAGTCACCCGCTTTCAGGGAGCTAGTTAGCATGATAGCATGTCCGGGCGGCACACGGCATATGGGACGGAACACTTTTTCCAACTACCTGGAGAAAGAATATACAAAAATGGAAAGCCAGCTAATATCGATGCAATCCAGATTGCATATAATGCATGTCAAGTTGATCAACAGATTGTATTATTCTCCAATGCAATAACAGTACTGAAAGGAAGGCTATAAGGGCATTAATGGGAGCCATTTTTTCAAGTAACGAAAACGTTACTTTTCAGTAACTGAGTTACTTTTGACATGAAGTAACTAGTAATGGTAACTAGTTACTGGTTTTCAGTAACTAGCACAACACTACTTGTAACAGAGTATTTCTTCACTGTGGTATTTCTACATCATCTGAATACTTATTCCACCTCTGTTTTTAACTCCTGTTTTCCCACATTGAAAAACAAGCCCCTACTTTTTACTCAACAACCTCTCCCACTACCATCACAATCACGGAGCTATTTTAAGATCCTCTGACAGGTTTGATATCTTCTGCTGTGCTAACACAATGAGGATGGGATCGATAGATGATCTGCTTCATTCATTATTAATCAGGCCAAGGGAGAGAAACAGGAAAGAGAGCAGAAGATCGGAGAGGACAGAGGGGTTGCTGGGTAATAGAGGAGATTAAGAAGAGAGAGACCTGCTCCTTTGAATCTCCCCGGGGACCGGAGCAGAAACGCCGGGGCTGACAAAGGCTTTAGTGGCCAGCCCCTGACCCTCTGACTCTCATGTCCCTCTGGAAGGAGAAGCCATCACTCGCAACAAAATACCCTTCAGCTCAACCTCCGGAATGACTCCACTGATAACCCCTCTCCCAAGTCATCCTATAATTTCCTTATAATTAATTAAATTAACTTTAAATTAGCCTAATGATAGAACCCACATGTTCTGTGTTTCATTCAAGTTGTCTCAAAATACACTGGGATAACAAGATACTGATAAAATGGGCTGAACATAAAAAAAGCCTTTTTAAAATAGGGTTGCATAATATGGAGTTTTTCCATTGATACCAATTATCAATAATCACCTGCTTCTTATGTCCAATGTAGTTAATAAGATAATTTCACCTAATTTCCAAACTATTATTTCATAATCTTTTGTTTATGTAAACTTAACGGTTAG